TATATAAATATAGATAAATATGTATTAAAATTAAATTTTAAAATGCATATATTTCATTATTACATCTGGAAATATGCATAACGTTTCAATTTTGTAACTGTAATGTTGTAGACGAAAGAAACAAACAAGGGCAATAGCTACCTATAACAAAAGGCACTTCCAGCATTGTAATTTAAATTTGCAATTAACTGCATATTTCTTTACATGTTCTGATTAAAATCAGAACAATAAGCCTGCAAACGAAATTTTAACTGTAAATCTGAAAAATCAGAGCACAGAGGCATATCCCTTACTAATAATTGCAGAGGCAGGAACTCTTCTGACCACAGAGCTGCTGCTGGGCAGCGAAGGCCTGTGCCAGGGTACAGTTTATCTTCTTTAGCTCCCAAGACCAGTTTGGAGAGCTCATCTGGCAGTGCTTGCAACAAGCTGCACTGGGCTTACGATGTTCATGCATGCATGAACACATTTGCTCTCTGCAAACTGCTCAGCAAGCTACAGATTTTTTGGTACATGAAGCTATGCAGTCACCTCTGGCACCAGCAATAGAGTCCGTACAGTCAGGTTGTCTAATAAGTTCACGCAGTCTATTTTGGCTCTCTACACCATGCATGTAGAAGGACGGGGCTCTTTCAAGCCAAAACACACATTAAGTATACAGAGCTTTCATAAGAAACAAAATTCCAATTTCCTGGTCTTGTACCATGTGAATTCTCCAACTCAGCGCCGCATTTCCATGCCTATAGCTTCCCACGCAGCAAGGTCAGAACAGCAGCAGCAAGAGGCAAAGGAACAGAATCCCCTTCTCCGGGCAGCACAAACCCTGCCTGAAGGGCTCACCAGGACACTCAGACAAGGTGCCGGCGGTGCAGACCTTCGGCCACCATGACAACACACTTTGCCACAACAAAAAAGGAGACTTCTGCTTCGCTCATTTGCAGGCACTGACTGCTTTGTAACAAGTATCTCAGCCCATAGGATTTGGCTTCCTTCACAAAGATCGTTCTGACTGATCCTGTATGTGTTGTAGGTTTATAAACTAGGCATTTAGCGCCCTTGCTGTGCTGACTCTGCAGGATAAATTTTCAAGACGGAAATTCTGTGCTCTTAATTTTGCCTGTAAACAGATGTGGGCAAAAGCTGATGCTATTTGCAGTTCTGTTTATGCTCACGTCTGTACTAAGCTACTGGAAATCACACCCTTGAAGGACTAATGAGAACTACGCAGTGTTTCAGGTCTGGTCTGTGAACCCTCTGAGTGCATTTTTATATTAAAATGGGCAAATGCTAAAGTAGGCCACGTCGGTATGCTGGTATTGCGCTGCTGTTCCCTGCTGTGTAACTGTGAAGCACTTGCACTTGAACTAGTGCCAGACCTTCAAAGCCTCTTGAAATGGGTGAGCCAGGCAAGGAAAACATGCGCAACAGCATTCCAGGCAAAACCAGGCAATTCCCAGTTAAATAAACTCCTGCTCATTTCTCTGTGAAATCACGACACAGACACTGAGCACTCCCATACAGACAGGGTCACACCTCTTGACTCACACTATGTGGGACTTGCATCACCTCAGGGCCAGGTTGTTCGGTGCCGCGTACTTCACGCCGTCACCTGTGACTACATCAACAGTGGTGAACCTCAGCTGAGGGCGGGTGAGATCTGGCAGCCGTTTCACAAACAAGGCTCATGGTGGCTGGGATATGGGCAAGAGCAGAGCTCCACAACAGTGTCCAATGGCTGCCCATAGGACTCCCAGCTGCCTCGCTCCTGGCCGGGGTGGTGGGACTGGCCTGGCTGCCAATCCCTATCCTGATGGACCCCAACAAGGAGCCCCTGGCCCTAGACCACCCTGACACTTGCAGGGGAGCACCCTGTAGCTCTTGTAAAATTTACCTGCAGCCAGCAGAATGACAAGACACACAGCCAGGCCCGGTGCTCAGCAAGATCAACACCTCTGCCACCTCTCTCACCCTTCACACTAGGCATATCTGCAAGATCACAGAATCACAGAATCGTAGAATCATAGAATGGCCCAGACTGGAAGGGACCTTAGGGATTATTTAATCAGCCTCCCTGTCATGGGCAGGGATGGCACCTCTCGACTAGACCAGGCAACACATGGGGAGCAAGCGGGAATCGAACCTGCGATCTCGGTGTTGTCATTGCTGTCAGCATCGGGCTCAAACCACTGAGTTAACCAGCCCCCTAGGATAATTAGCATGGGGCTGTGAAAAATGCATTCCTAAGAGAAGACCACACTGGAGGGGTAGAGGGCGGTGCTTTAAATGTTCCTTTTCAACAGGACCTAAGTTGTGGGTAAACAGTCTAGCACAGAGACAGGCACAGAGCGATCTGAAAAACCACCATGAAAACCCTCTCAGTCTCTGGGGAGCTCCTCCCAGGGATCTCACCATCGGCATTCTCTGAAGAAGTGTAACCGTTCCTAGACTTTCCAGCCAGCCTCATTTATTCACCTCATCAAATGGACTTGTGAATTTGGTGTAATTAGAGAAACACTCTGGACTACAAAGTGTTTTTCAAAGCAAGCACTGGGTCACTGAAACAAAGATCAAAGACAGCAGTTTCAAACAGCAGAAAGAAAAGCCAGGAATTAGAAAGGAGGGCTGCTTTCATCAGGACTAGGTCGTACAGGCTGCAATCCGCTAGCGCAACTCGAAGCACACAATTCGGCACAAGCCTACCAAGGCAATTAAAGCACTGTGCTCACATGGTTAAAACGAAACACAAGCATCAGGACCTTGATAACCAGCTTGGAAAAATCTTCATGCATACAGCTTACATAATATGGCACATGTAAGAAACCGTGCAAACTACCACTACTTTCCCACCTCCCCTTCCTCAAATAAACCACACCTATTTGGAAAGAAAGGGAGGGGAAGCTATACTTTAGTATTTTTAAGCATTTAAAGCCAAACTGACGCTTCAATTGCATATTTGGTAAAGTTTAATGACATGGAATGGAATCAAAGCAATAACATTTAAATCAGCTTAAGGAAACTTGAAGCATGGGCCATTTCATCCAAATAAAAAGTACTCCAAACAGGATCCAGCTTCTGCTGGAAGCTAAAGGGTGTTCAGGTATATTGGTTAAGATGGACTTTTCTACTCACGAGAAGTACACCAAAAGTATTATGTAAAACTAGCAAATTGCTTTCGATTCTGCAGCTTCTATTCTAGTGCACAATGGCCTTCACTAGATAACAGACCAAAACATTTCACCTAACTAAAAAAATCATCTGAACACTGTCATCACATCTTCTGGCACACACTAAGGTATCACTGAGTTGATGGTCTGCTTATGCAAGAGAGATTAAGGGAAGGTACAAATGAGAGGACAGAGCAAAATAAATTGCCTACAGGAAAACTTACTTGTGCCAAACTCATTTTTAAGTGGGATTTAGGGGTACATTTTTGGAGGCAAAACAGGTATGGAATCATCCCTGATAAAATAAATTAAGTTATATAAGAAGAAATCACAAACTCTCTTTCCTCCAACAAATGCCTTCAAAAGGTTCACAAAATATCATGCCTGTGAGCTACATCAGACAGCTGTCATCCTACAGGATCAACTGCAGCCATTCATAGCAGTGAATTTATGATTCTTCTAATGTGAATTAAAAGCAGCAGAGTAAGCAAAATGTCATATTGCCCACATGTCTCTTAAATAATCTAAGGCAGGAGAAGAACTAAAAATGCAAAATACCTTTTTGAATTGTATTATAATATCTGCCATTTCAATTTATCTGAGCCTGACATTCAATCTTTTAATAATTTCAGATGCTTTCTTTCTATCATTAAAAGAAAAATGAAATTAAATATATACCGTAAACATCTGGATCCACAATTGGGCCACTACCTGTACAAGGAGAAGAGAGGGGGGAAAAAAAAAAAAGCTTTGTGAACAGATTGCAAATGCTGGAAGAATAAGAGTTTCTTTAGGATTTTTTTATTAGAGTTGACATGTTATTTGCAGCAGCAACGATCAATTCCCACACAAATACGAAGTAACATCAAGATATTGCAGTACCTGCTTATCAGATTACATTTACCACCATTAAGAGTTATTCCAAAGGTTAATATTTTGCTTCATGTGAGATAGCTATAGCACCAGCAGAGGCAGGCGTATTTCACATCGGGGCAAAAATTCTGCTTTCTGCTGTTAATGTATATCTGGAATAAGTGCAACAATAACTATTCCTGTTGAAAAATCAATGGTAAAATACTCCCTGACCTTAAGTGGAAGCTGACTTCAGTGAGCATTAACAGTGATTGACTTCTACCTGGTCAAAAAATTTTGCTATTAAATCAATATGAGAGCAAACTGGTTTAGCTTAGCTGTGAGCTGGCACATTAAGGGCTAGAGGTAGCAACGACCTAAGCAGCACCATTTCACTCATCCTGTAAAAGGATGCTTCCAAGAAGCCAGTTGCACAGCTTATAGACATACAGAACTCATACCAAAAGACAGACGTCTCAGAAGCCATCCTTTATGCAAGCAAATGGATACTCATCTAGTCTACACTTTTCTAGTGTACAATTTTACTAGTCCCAGTTTGCAGTTTTTTCTAATTACTGCACATATATAAGACTGAGCACGTATATGAGTATATTGCAAAGAATGTCCACTGAAATTAGTGTACTGTGAGACTATTCACACTTTGAAAGATAACTTACGTTGTACTTCAATAGACCCATTCATTCTGGTCTATAATGTATTTATAGCATAGCTCACGTAGTAGGCCTCTAGTCGTCTCTTCCACATTTTTACTCTTTCTTTTTGTTAGTTTGGAAATAAAACTGATAATTAAAATCTCTGAAGATGAATCAAACTTCAAAAAAACATAATTTTGTTTATAGTACTATACAGTAAATCCATAGCAGTGGAACTACACTGGCATAAAGACATCGTGAAGTATGAACAGAGGACCATTGTTTACGCTTTTGTCACCAGCATGAGAATCTGTGCTGAAAATACTAAGCAGAGTTGCAATCTATTTGCCTAGTGACAGCAGATAATTAGGTTTATTTTTAAATGTATTTGAAGATATTCTGGCATCCAGAGATACAGTTTAATAGACCTCACAAGAACTATCGTGTCAGTTTGCAGAAATAAGTAACAAGGTGAGATAACTTGTACTATCTGTCCTCAAGCAACTTCTGACCAGGGTTTTCTGTCCATGAAAGTTCATGGATTCAGTTTTTCTAGTATAAAACATCCACCTGCTGAAAGACAGTATTTCTAATTTACCTTCTGAATTCTGAGGGGAAAAAAAATCCTAGGCCTTTATTTCTCAGCTAAACGGCAATATTTTTATTACTGTTTACTGAAATGGAATGAAGTAATCAGATTAGCTTAACCCCTAAGTCCTGACAGGGATATAAACTAGTCATCAACTCCATTCAAGCACCTTTTATGTAACTAAATACTTAATTTCAAATAAAGTTGCAAAAATCATGATGCTGGATGAAACTCAAACTTCTACTTAGTATTCTTTACACAGACATACCTACTCAATCATCAAAACATCAGCTGAAGCTATTTTAACATTAAACTTCACCACAGTAATTTTGCATGTTTACACAAAATTATTTTTAAGGCAAACACAGAATAGGATTGTTGGTTTGCTCCCTGTTAGAACACGTCGTTGTGTAAATAAACTATTAAAAGACTTATCCTAATCACTTATCCTTAAAAACTACATCAACTATACTCAGTTTGCTTGCCTCTTTCTCTTATAAAGTCAACATTTTCAAAATAAAGCAGCAGCAAAGACACAATCCAGAAACATTACTTCTGCAAAACAGCCCCATAGTTTTTAAGACACACTAGGAAGATTCTACTTCTAAGGCATATTTAACGTGTTCTTTGACTTTGACAACATACTACGTGGCTTGGATTCTTTCAGTCAAATTTTAGAGTAGGGAGATAACAGATGAAAAAGCTTAATTAAAAATACTTATTATTGGTAAAAATCTCTCCCACATTCATTAGCTGCTGTGGATCAACTATGAGAACAGCCTCCAGAATAAAACATGAACATTTCTTGCTTACTGTTTGTGGCACTGTAGTCTGAAAAAATCAAGTCATCCTCAGCAACAACAGATTCACAGGAATCCAAGAACTTCAGTAGATTGAAACTGGTTAAAAATCTAGCTAACAGAACATGAAACTTACTCATCTGGGCCCTCTCATTTAAAATAAAGTATTAATTTACAACATAATCTATGTTATCATTAACTCAATCCAAATCCCACTGTGGTGCATGCTTTCCTCGCCTTTACGTCTGCATCCTCCCAGTCATGAAAAATGTTCTGCGAGTAGCATGCTGGAAGTTGAGAGCATCTTAGTGCAAGTCACGTCTTCATCATGTTTGATGCAACTCTGAAGGTGGAGTACTTACACTGTTGATGACAGAACATGCTTCAGATGTAGCTGCATTTAATTTAGATAGACAGAGGGATTATATGTGAGGGTTTTTTTAAAAAATTTCTGTTGTTTTTACCACCAGAGCATTTGCCCGTAAGTGATGTAATAACCAGAGAATCAGTTTAAAGCTCCATAAGTATACTCCACCCCATGAAACATCAGGGCTGGTATTTAAATCAGTCATGAAGGCAAGGAAATGCACATAATACCAGGGTGTGGGCCTTAATCTTTATGCTTCATTGTACAATATGTGGGCCAAAAGAAGAAACTACACAGTAACGACAGCACTGAAAACACCTTTTAAGGGCTTGAAAAAGCTTGACAGTGCTTTAAATAGTAATAGTTTAAAACAAAAATTGTAATACAATGCTCAGAGGATTCTAGTTTTTTAACATTTGCTTTTATGTCTGCTTCAGTGGAGAAGACAACAATGTTGTGATGTTTTCAAAAGCTAAATGCCATGATACTTACAGGAAAAAAATAAAAACAACATTGAGGCAGCTAAGTGGATAAGCAATTTCCTCTGTTAATTTTTAAGACTGGTTTGGTGCCATCCACTATGTATGAACTGATTTTTAATGCAGCTACATCCCGTCTATACATAGTCAAGTTTCCTCTTCTCTTTTTGTGAAGCTTAATCCACCACAGAGCTTGGGAAATGCTTTAGGAACACAGCACACATTATGCTGGGAGACATACTCCTTATGAGTATGAAGAGGATGGAACAAATAAATAATGCTGTCTCTCTAATTCAGAGGATACCTATTGTTCTATTCACTGATCTAAAAGGCCACAACTGGGGAATTTTCAGCATACAAGGAAGAAGCATAAAGGAAAGCAGAACAGTAAAAGGTATCTGGATCAGACAAAAAATGGTAAGTTCACCTAAATGCATTAGAGAAGCAGTTATTCTGTTAAGAAAATGAAGTCAGGTTCATATTAATTAATCCAGGTTTAAGAGAACTTCCATTCTACACCTAACATCTATGAGGCGAACTGTTTCAGTGAACTGTTATACTGCAATATTAGAGGATGCCAGTAGCTGAGACCACAGCATGTTTCTGTAATGACTCTATCTAAGGAAGAACATTAGAGAAAAAAAAGGAGAGAAGCACTAAGGATAGCAGGATTAAATAAAGCCTGGCTGTATCAGCTTTTCACCTTCTCCTTCTAAGGATGGGAAAGCAAAAGAGCTGCCATCACTTTCCCTATAGCAAATTGAGCTGATAGGAGAAAATACAGACCGTATTTTTACTGTCTGTAGCCTGCAATGCAGGAGAATTTAAATATTCTCTTTTTTTCTTATGCCAGATAACAGTAGCACTGCACATTGCTGTTGCAAAAAAGAAGGCAGCTATTTATATCCCGTAGCTAAAAAGCTAAAGGTACACACATGCTCATATTTTCAGATATGACTGTGCAATTATTTGTGCAAAAACATGCCTCTATTCCCACTCCAGCTGTGCAAGGTCCACTCAAGACTGTTTTCCACATATAGCAATATTCTTACACATATGTCTTCTTACTCTTACAGTCACTTCACATACGGTTTTGAAGACGTGGGAAAGATCAAACCACAGTGAACATCAATCACTTACAGCAGTCCCTGTAGCTCAGTGAGTTGGTCCACATTAAGCCAGCTCACACAGCGTTCAGGAGTGCTGAGGCGGAGCCCTTGGAACAACTGAAGATGCATATATTTAACAGCAACCATTTTGAGCATGGATATTCCTAGGCATATAGGTGCCCAGCCTCCACTGAAAGGAATGAGAATTGAATGTGGAAATGCCCTTAAGGACCTGAGACCTTGTCCATCCTGCCTCTGGGTTAATCGTTTTCACTCCAGCTCCCTCTGGTGTCCCAGACAACATATTATCATCGACTCACTCGACTGCACTACTGATGTTGCAAGAAGGCACTACATAGGCATCCATCCCCCTGTGTCCTTGGATACTCTAGCTCACAGAATCACAGAATTGTGGAGGCTGGAAAAGACCTCTGAGATCAAGTCCAGCCTATGACCCAACACCACCACATTGGCCAGACCATGGCACTAAGTGCAACATCCAGCCTCTCCTTAAACACCTCCAGGGACAGTGACTCGTTGCATTCATACACAGTGCAGACTACAGAGTGGTTGAAATGGCATTCAGTGCTTTCCAGGATCAGAACTGAGGCTGGAGAAAGCACTTCAAAAACAGCAACCTTTTTTACTAGCCTTAGCTGGCACTGAGAATGGTTACTGAAGAGGGAAGATTTACAGAGCAGTAGCATGGCCTTCCTTGAGAAGCAATAAACAAGAAGGAAATGAAATGCCCAAGAAAAACATTATTTTACAACCAATCTTGAGGACGTTCATTCAACAACAAAATAAAGGGAAAAAAAAGCACATAAAAAGCTTTCTCCAAAATAGTCACACTGGCCAGGAGCAATGTCTCCACAGTCCCATCAATTTATAATTGCTAACATATAAAAAACCAAACCTATACTCACCATCTCCAGGCACTGACATGAAATGAGCATCAACCCGTTTTTCATCCTCTCCGTACTCATTCTTTGCCAGTAAAGTATAAGCACCATTATTCAGGTGGGTAGGATTGTCCAGCTGAAGGCAGCCATGGTACTCACTTTGATTGATAACATGTATTTTAGTACAGATGTATTCAGACTCATTCAGTATAGCCCCTTCATAGAACCACTGCAAGGTGGGCTTAGGGTTCCCTTTCACAGTGAATGGAATACACCAGTGGTGGTCCGGGGTTGGAGATTCAATAAACGTGATATTTGGTGCAACTATATTGGAAGAAAGAGTGAAGAACATCAGAATATTCTGAACATGTCTCTCATCCCTGCCCTTCCTCCCCCCAAAGTTCTCAGGGAAGTATTTGTAATCCATCAGTACAAAAGTATGCTGTTATTAAGAATGATAGCTGGAGGATATTCGCGCAGGAACCCATCTGCTCTGACTAGGGTACAGTGCTCACAACTGAAATGAAGCCATTCTTTAGAAAGAAACAAAACAAACTAGTTTCAGACAAAGACTGAACACCTGCTAAACCACTTAAACTCTGTAAGGTGTGGGAAGTTCAGTTACTGGTTCACTGGGAAGGGGAAGAAGACATTTTAACTTTGCTGAAAAAAACGGTGCAGAGGAGTGCTGAAGGAACAAAACAGTACTGAAAACATTTAAAAGTTGGCCCAAAGCAAGTAGTACTGGAAATATATTCAGCCAGGAATCCAAACTTTCAGATTATTATCTTCACAGAATCAAAGCCAGAACAGATGACTTAATTCCCTGGATTCTTCTGTCAGGGAAAGATGATTTTCTACTATATGTTTTCTGATTCTTTGTTTAAATCTGCTAAATGCCTCAAGTTTACAGATTTGGTCTCTTTCCCTCAGGAGATTAGTTCAACACCTTGCCCATTATTTCAGTATTGGGAAAGTTTCCTTGATATTTATTCTTAACTATATCCAATTTCATCTAGTTGTACTCCCTTCTATCACTCATAACAGTGCCAAGCTCAGACACTCATTTACACTATTCAAACATTTCTAGTTTATGTCCTTTCCCATAGATATTACATATTTCCAACTTCAATCTAAAAACCCACATCTACAGTGCTTTTTCTAGTTTACTCTGCCATGAGTACATGCTGAACAAAGTTTGCCATCTACAAACCATTCTATTCCCATCTTCAATTAAACAGAGGGTTGCAACTTGTGAAAACATGCAGTTTAGTTCACATAAAATGACTTCATGCTGGAGCTTAGATCTAAGAAGCCAGTGCCTCTACACTACACGTCCCTTCCCCTTCCTTGGCCCTGACACATAAGTATATTATTCAAAGCTATGACATACAAATTTACATCTGGCAGTGTGAATGTTTCAAGTGCATTATTTTTTGAATGAAGCAGTTGTTGCCTCAGATAATAACTTAAACATCTGTAATCTCTTGTAATTATTTCTACAATCCTTTTGATGCACTCACATTTCTTAATCCTAAGAGTGTATGTACATCCAAACCATTACAAACCTTCCCATAGTGTCATGGAATATTCTGGGTTTCAGACCTTTGTTTATAGATCATTCTAATTGGGATATAAAGCGTTTAGAAGTGTGATTTTTTGCAAGAAAGCAGAACTGAAAAAGATAAATATGACAACTGCTTGTTGGGCTACTCTCAGCACTAACTGCAGTAGATAGTTCACATGCCTTAAGTGGTTTTGTTTCAAAAACCTTCATGCCCAAAATATTTATACCCAAAACATTTGCTGCCAATGCAGTTCAGCCTCAAGAGCTATATGGAGGCCTGCATACGTACAGAACACCGTAAGCTCAGCAGAGGCTTGGTCCTCTCCCACAATGTTCTCTGCTACGCAAGAAATCCACAGTCCACTGTCCATCGATGAAACATTCTTTATGGTTAGCGATGCAGGATTCTTACTTGTGTCACTCTACAAGTGATCAAAAAAACATATATGTCACCCACAGCATAAAGAACAACGGAGAGCAAAGGAATCACTGGTCACAGCTTAATTGCTTTTTTCATTTTCCTATCCTTTTAGCTGTATCAGTCCACAATTAATCAAAGCCTTACTTCAGTGTCATATCCAAATACACACAAACCTACCTATTCTTCATTTAGTCTCTTTCCTTTACATTTACATTTGACTTCTCTTCCACTGCTGCCTTCTGAGCTCTACTGTAGCTTGACAACAATGTGCCTTCTCCCGTCTCTCTAGCCACATTTCTCCTGAAAGCTGGTTCTTCTCATGAAAACTTTCATGAGAAATTATGTACCTTCTACTACCTAAGAAACCAATGAAATACTTTCATGTGTTTAAGCACAGGCTAAATAAAGTAAGCATTCTGGTTCTTAGAAATCCTGATTCTTACAAATACCATTGCCCATTTACAGCCCTAAATACCATGATGAATATGCAGCCCTTCACATGATCTCAAGCACTTCAGATGATCTCCAAATAATTACTATTTCCTTACTTGAATTTTTCATAAAATGCGAAAGTATTTTCTTAAACAGGAAATGAACCAAAACACATTCAAAAAATAAACAATAAGGATCATTTTTAACAACTTTCTTTAAGGTACTTTTCTTAGCATACATTTACACTTCATTGCTGCACAGAACACAAACAAATAACAAACTGCACCGGTAAAACCACAGCGACTTTCAGTAGCAGTCAATGGGGACCTGTGGGAACATTCCTGCATACAGTCGTGTGTGACCAGAACTTTGAACCTCGACACCTTAACTCCAGTTAAATGTCCCTTTGACTTCAGTGTGACATGAGGGGAGGTGAGCGGAAAAGCAAGCACCCCATTACACATTTCTCTACGTGCAACTCTCAGAGGTAAGCAGTGCTCAAAGCTGGACTGCAAGCAGACGGGCACAATTGCAGGCTTGGGGCTGAAATCCAGCTCAAGGAAAATCTAACCAACATCAACTGGATTATACACCACCATAGACACTGAGAGCATATAGTTAGCTTTGCAGAACTGGAGTCTAGTTTTAACTTTTGTTAACATCTCTCTTTGTAAAACAGGAAAGAGAGAGAAAACAGGCAAAAGCAGCATAGGAGGTGAAGAAAAGGGAGGCAGAAACTGAGATATGGAAATGAGAGAAAGGAAACCAAAAACAACACTCACAGAAAAGAGGAGGATAGTTGTGAATGGCAAATGAGGTTTAAAAGGCACTTGTTCTTCTGCTACTGAAAAGACTACTGTGCTCTATGGCTAAGATTGTAGCTAGCCTGTATTAAAAGTCCCTCTGAAATCTCAAGATGAAGTTATGCCAGGACACAATATTTCTGGAAAGCTTGAAGAAAACCGATCATGGCATTTCAAAGATAGGAGGGTTAAAAAATGAGGTGATCTCACTTTTTGAATAGCATCCCACATTTGTTTTGGCTTATAACTCAAAAAATAAAAAAAAAGGAAAAAAAACGAGAGCACAACTTGGCATAAGTTCCTCAAACTGTTTTAATTTGTTGTTCTTGACGACTGATGCCTTTGGGTAGTTTTACAGATTAGAGAAAATTTTAAAAATAAAACTACAGCTCTGCAGAGCTCTTATGAGATCTGAAAGACAGGCTAGTCAAATTCTATACAGGCTCAATATAATGGCTTCAAGGAAGAAAGTACAAAGATTACAAGACCACAGAGGTCATGTCTCTTCCACAGTGCAGCAGGAGTTTTGGAAGTACACATCCCACAGCACAACACTTTAGGCAGTCTGAACTATCATGAACGTAGGAAAGTCAATGTCCTAAAATTGTTAATACAGAGCGTCATGTCCACTGTGTAAATAATGGCAACTTGGGAGACCAGCAGCTGCATGTTGGAGACCTACTTATAAGCCTCTCCTTCTCAACACTTGCATCAGAAAGTTGTTCTATCTCCAATGTGCACACCGTCTAAAGCAGGGACACAGAAAACAAACATCTAAGAAAATAAAATTCTCCCTGCCTAGATGATTTTATTGAGGAAACACCTTCATACTTCATTAATGAAACTGTCATTCTTTTTAGTAAAACTCTGACTTTTTCCAAAGCTTCCTGTTGTTGCCTTGTTTGCTGAATGAAAATTAAAGAAGCCAAAAAATATTTATAAACAGCTCCCAACTGCAAGCTTTGGGCACAAAAATACGAGACACAAAGTTTTTTCATTATTACGATAGATTAGATTTTTCTCTGTATGCAGGTATCAGTGTTAATGAGAAAGCCCTTGCTTTTGAGTACCCCAATTCACCACATTGCTTCCAAAAATTTACAGTACTGTCATTTACAAGCGAACATCCAAAAACTAGAGTGCAAATCAAAGTCTTGAGGACTGAATGTCTGCCATTCTCCAAAATCCCTGCAGAAGTCACCCTAGACTGAATGTAACTGGAAAACAAAAGTAATCCCAACATTAATAATCTATTTCATCTTTTTAATAAAAAGTTAACTGAAGTTGGACATGAACCTTCATTCCATCCTTTACCAAGTACCTCCTTTCTCTGAATTGTTGTGTATTTGAAGACAAAACTTACCTCATGATTTGAAACAAGGTTAGTAAGTACCCAGGATACATTAGGAGGTGGCCTGCCAGTAGTGTCACAGTACAATGTGATGCTCTTTCCTTCCACTACGGTGATGTTGTAATTGCTTAAGTTTGCTGAGGGCAAATCTGTGATAGAAACAACAACAACAACAAAAAAAACAACACATGCATTTGTATTTGACAGAAACAGACACCACTGAATTCTAAGCAAGCTGTATAAACATCGCTAAATCAGATATTCACTGTGGTCAGTCACTACTCTGGGAGTAAAAACAGCCTCTTCGCAAACATGTAACTACGGTTTTTAAGCTGATAGGAAACATTTTTCTGCACCTCCTCTGCTTCACATCCTAAGAAAACATTACTGCATGTGGAAATACATTAATCTCATAGGGAAATGTTTCAGGTGGACAAACAGAAATTCTCCTAACTTTAGTTTTTATCTTCAAAATTACAAAAAGACCCTTTCCCTTATTCTTTAACATAGGAAATTTAATCTGTCTCTTTCTAACAGCTGCAAAGCAACCTCTGTTTTCCATGAACTTACGTGGTGGTATTCCCACTGTTCTCCACACCACTAACAGGAAAAACTTATTAGGTCCCAATACCACACAAGAGATCGCAGACCTCCCTCTCAGAGACACAGCTCACAGAAAGAAGGGCAATACCCAGATCTTAAGCACAAAGCAAAGGAAAAAGAGCACTGAACAGATCAAACCAGAGGAGAAAAAGGACAGAAAAGAGAGTTAGCAACCACACAGAACTGCTATCCAAGGCACCTCAGCAGACTTTGCTACTGCCCACAGGAAAGCAAAAGAGCAGTGAGACAGTACAACTCACCAGGAAGTAAGACCAGATTTTGTAAGAATCAGGACGGTTCCTCCATCTCACAGAGCTAGAAATCACTCTGTACCTCATTCTTCAGCAGCAAAAGTAACAGAAGCTTTCCAAAGAGTAAATGTATGCTGAATACTTAGGAAAATACAAGGAATTACAGACTGAATCTCCTCAAAAATAATGCCAGCAATATCACCAGGCTTCAGGCACGGAGGATCTTGCATTTCGTATTTATTTACATAGCAAATAAACATGGAACATGCTAGAAATATCATATCTTTCCTTAAAGATATTATGCCATCATTTAGAGCTGCTACACTCTTCCTCTATAAAAAGCCTTGGCCTCCTTTTTGAGGCATTTCTCACCAACTGTTCCAGGCAACGTTCATTGCAATTTACCAGCTCAAATAATCAAGCTTATCTGCTGTGCTGGATGTATATGGATGATCTTGCAACGACTTTTCTTTTTCTGAAACAACAGTTTTGTTTCTTTGGTTTTTTGTTTGTTTTGTTTTTTAATTAAAGGTACTGTAGCTTCCTCACGGATTTGCAAGTATAGAAGTTTAGCAGAGACTTTTTTGCTTATGTAAAAAGTCCCATGCAAACAACTAATCATCAAATCAGAGTGAACATATTAACTGCTTGCTAGAACTTCAGTGGAAGCTATATGTATTGGAAATCTTCCTTTAAGTTTAACTAGTTGAATAAAAATTAAATGAGAGGAGGTAATACAAAAGAGAAGACAAATAATTTTCCACGCAATGTGTCCTTGCCTAATAAGATTTGACGATCAAGTATACAGTAACTACTTAGGCAATTCTCCCAGTGCTTTAAGTAGCGCTGTAATATGATTCCTGTTACAGGTATCATGGCTTACTTCTATTATGTTCACTTTATAAATCATATGTTGAAGTTTATTGAGACAGAGATGGACAGTTTGTATGCCTTGATATAGTAATCTGTTAGTGAAGGTAGCCATCTGCTCTCGCCTGCTGTGAATTCAAATCTCAGTAGTGTCTGTCAACTAACTGAGCAGGAAATACAACTAATCTTAGGGAACATTTGGATATTAATTAATTCTAGTTAGGGAACAAGGAGAGGAATAATGAGATCATTTGCTTTATAAAGTTACACTTGCACATCACCTTTGAAAACCATTCCAGCTGCTCTTGCCAGACCCAAACGTGCAAAGAGATTAAAGCTCCCCTTTGGCTCTAGCATTTGGGACAACATCTACATGACAGACTAGTGTTTCACTGTGCGAGCCTGCACAGCTCCTACTAACACATCATTCCACATGAAACCTGTCACGTAAGCAAAAATAAAAACAATTTTGGTCCTTTAGGGCCGTCTTTTAATAGCTGTTAAGTTCTGAGACAACTTCTTCCTGCAGTGTATTTATTTACAGGATAGGCAACTGAAGTTTAATTCCTCTGGTATTGGTTCTGATTCCCACCCCCAATTATATCTAGTTCTGTTTATTTGCAAAAGTCTGTACATGTCATATTGGTGTTACATCTCTGAGGGAAAAAGCTACATCATGCTTTTATCCTGCCAGGAAGTTAAAAAAAAAAGAGTGCTTATTATTCTATAGATTCCTAGAGTTACACCAAAAACCAGTTGCAAGACACACCAGAGAATATTGCAGCAAAAAGTTAGAATAGAATAGAATAGAATAGAATAGAATAGAATAGAATAGAATAGAATAGAATAGAATAGAATAGAATAGAATAGAACAGAACAATCGTATTATTGTGTGTTTTCTTTTACTTCCTTTCCCAGTCATAAGAGGTGGAAGAGAAACACATACAAGAATTGCCTTGGGATTCATTTTTTCTGACTGCTCCACAGCAGAACATACACTAGCTCAAAAGCAGTTCCCTTTAGAGAAAGCCAGCAGTAGCATAAGATCTCCTATCTCAACAATATGATACACTGGACTTATCAATAAAGCAATGAGATTAAGCAGCAAACCCTGTACTGAAAAATAATCTTATTTAAAAAAACACCATGCACCCTAACAGATACATGCTCAGTATGTATGCTCTGCATAGTGTGAGACCATTTATATGAGTCAGTCGCATTTTCACACCTACACAATCACAAAGATCTGCAACCACGCTGCATTTACTCCTGACTTAATTTGGTTAAATACAGTGGTTTAGATGACTATCACTTCCATTGATATAGATGTATACCTTAAAGGTTTCTGTATACAGTAATTGATACAAGCAATCCGACAACAGGCTGAGATACTTTTGTATACCACCAGCATAGCAAGTTTAGACTGCAGCTTGAGTCCATGAAAGGTAGACATGACATCATCTTTCCCAAGGTCACATCTTGACAGCTGTCAGACAGAGACTACCCTGTGCCCCAAAGCTTGAAACACAGTATCTCTTTCAAACTTTGTTGACATTAATTATTATAATTCTGGATATTAGTAATAACCGTACTAGTACCAATTTTATATTATTTTTTAATTTTGCTATATTCTTAAGAGCCTTCTGCAGCAATGAGTTTCACAGGCCATATACAAGTCACTCATTTTTACCAGTTCTGAAATTTGTCTGTGACGTTCAAATTCATTGAGTGCTCTCCTGTTCTCATGGACCAGAGAGAGTTTCTGAATTATCTTCTTAAGATCACTCTGTTCTATTTCATTTTCTTGAGTCCCTTTTCTTCTCAATATTCTATCCAAAGTTTTTCAATCTCCACCAAAAAAAGGACATAACCTGTTACTAAGAATTTTAAACTGTAGAGAGTTATACAGTTCAACAGATGAAAGCATACAGTAAAATCCATGTGTTTCATTATGTATGGGTGTATAATAGCTATGTTACTTCATCACATACAGAATATCTGTTCTCATATTCGAATTGGTTACACTTTATTCCTAGGAATAGGCAACTCTGCATTAGAATAAGCACACATCTCCCTCACCCCAGCACAATCGGACACAACACACACCAGCAGAAGGAGCTTATTTATGTCAGCTGAGTCTCCCCAAGTATCATCTCATGCTTCAGAAAGAACAAACCCACCTTTAAGTAGGGAGGGGAGGGTGATTACAAACCTTCACAGACCATCATTAGTGCAAACCAATGGCCAGAGGCCATCAGAAGGGAATGACTCATATCTTCACTGTGCACAGCTGGGATTTCACTAATCAAAAAACCAAACACTTTGGATGAAATTTTCAAAGGTTACTACAGCATTTCCCTAC